AGAACACAGAGTTTTACATCACTTGTATTAATACATTCATACACATGGATGCGATGGAGGAGACGGTGCAATGTTTTTGCAATGGCTCTCCGCATCACTTCTATGGCATCACCATTTGGTTCGCTTTACTTAATCTCTTTTTGATATCGTTGGCACATCAGCTGTACTGATGCTCAGCAATCCATGAATGTACAGCACAGGCAGGCATAGGCATAGGCATTGAGCACAGGCAGGCAGACAGGCAGGGCTCGCACTTCGATCAATCATATAATGTTTAATCTGCTGGCAATGCTCTCCCGAACCCCCAATGGATTCATGTGTCGAACGAATATAAATGATTGGAAAGCGAGTGGAAAGCAATGCAATGCTATGTAATCTTCGCCATTCACTTCCTGCTATTGGTTTAACATTCAGACAGCACTGGTATTGCACTCGTATTGGCACTGGTATTGCACCACAACTTCCAAACAACTATTCCATCGGTAGTAGTGTTTCCAAAAGAGCCTAAAAAACTTGGATTGAAAAGCAATGTCAACACTTCATCCCAACCATCGTTGCACCTAATTCTCGATGTTTGGATGCAGTGGCTGTACAGTAGTGCTCACTCTTAATGCATTAGCGATTAGCACTTTAAGGGGAGTTCGCATAAAAGCCCTATTATTTTGATTGTAAGAAAACGCAGAAAAACACTCACTTCAGGCATAGCATAGAGATTGCAATTCTGGTAAAGCTTATAATTCACTGTCAAAAAAGCTTCACAAAAATGTGAATCTGATTGAGAGAGCGGAGAGAGAGAGAGAGAGAGAGAGAAGTCGGAGACCACCTCCGGTTAAGGCACTTTGTGGGACGCCGTTCGGACATCTTATTTAGTAGCAAATAGTCTGAAATTCTTGGACTTATTTTCAATGTCAGCGAATAAATGGTCACAAACTGATAGGAAGAGAGCCCTGCAATACCGCTCCCAACACTTGATCTCACTTTTAAACAGAAAGAGTTTAAAAGTTTTGAATTTTGTTAAGAAGGGAAACATCTCTTAACGCATTATGAATCGAGTCATAAAACAGTTATAATTATACCGAAAAGCATATTCTCCGCCAGAATTTCATTTATTGCTAATATTGAGAATATTTCGGTCGATTGTAAGCAATGGGCACAACAGTCATATAGCGTGTGTATGACTGCATTTATCTTTATTGCTATACATTTCCCCTTTTAATGACACTTTACTACTTAAATGTCACACTCTTTTGCCATTTCATTCCCATTTACTACCAGTTGAAGCCAATTGTTTTCAAAGCATTGCTTCCAAATTAGGCTGAATTTTAAATGCAAAAAAGTTTCGTTTTTTATTTTATTTGTTGTTTGGAATTATGTTTCAATTAGAAGCGATAAGTTATAGATGAAGTGCACATCACAGCACTGTTAGGTTCAGTATATAATATCGTTTTACTGTATTATATTCAAGTATGCAATGCTTAGGCTGAGAGAGAGAGAGAGAGAGAGAGAGAGAGAGAGAGAGAGAGAGAGGGTCTGTGTGGAGATGACTACCAGAAGTGTTCACTTGTATCTAACAGTGCATTCATTGGCGGGTAAATAATGCGCCGAAGATTAGATGAATGTAAGCAAAAAATTTAATTTAAAAATGAGAGTACAGTAGAAGTAGAAGACAAGGGAGGGGTAGGAAAGACAAGAACACAGAGTTTTACATCACTTGTATTAATACATTCATACACATGGATGCGATGGAGGAGACGGTGCAATGTTTTTGCAATGGCTCTCCGCATCACTTCTATGGCATCACCATTTGGTTCGCTTTTCTCAATTCTCCACTAATTCTATCAATTAATACGGTTTCGATTTAACGCTCGTTTTGTATGTTATTATGGGGTTTATATGTAGAGAGAGAGAGAGAGAGAGAGAGAGAGAGAGAGAGAGGTCTGAAACCCAGTAAACTCTTTGGTTGCTATAAATTAATCAAAAGTAAAGCCCATCTGTTGTTACTAAAGCTATACACAGTTCTCGCAGTCATAGTAAACCATCACTCGTTTTAATGATAGGCAATGGTTTTGGGTTAGGGTTTGAGTTCGCTATCATATCTGTAGACAATTGAGTGCCAATACTTTCAATCACTAATATAATAGATCTTTGAATTTAAAATATAACTCTTATTTAAACACAGATTTTGATTCACAAATAACTTAAAAATTATTCACAATATCTTATAATTATATTAATCTTAATTATATTACTTATCATATGTTTCATTAATAAACCTATTTGTTTGTCTAAATAATAATATTTGAGTCGTCGTTATCATCGACGAGTTTGCCGTCAGCCGAGTTCGGGTCCGCTTTTATCTTGTTTTCCTTCTTAGCCTTCATTCGTCTGTTTTGGAACCAAATCTTGATTTGTCTTTCAGTGAGTCCTAAAGAGTGTGCAATTTCTATACGTCTTCTTCTGGTGAGGTATCGATTGAAGTGGAATTCCTTCTCCAACTCCAGTGTCTGGAAACGAGTATATGTTTGTCGGGTTCTCTTCGGTCCCTGTCCTGAGTCTAATCAATGATTTCAATTACTAATTAATCCAATCAATCCAATCAACTATTCATTTAATTCATATAACTATTTATTTATTATGACATGAACTACACTAACGGCTCGTAACTCACAATAATATACACTAAACGCTAATATAATATGAAAGCCAAACAAGTCGTAAAACAACTAAACATTGACTAAACACTTAAAAGCTTTAATTTGCAGCCAGTTTTGTGTGAAGTCATAGCACTTGACAATGAAATTAAATAAAACTTTAACTTAATTATGATAATAATAATAACAATAATGACTTTAAGCCTTAATTTTGTTTCTAACCTTTCATTTTAAAAACTAATAAAAAGCGATATATTTTCAAAATAAATTGAGTATTATATCTGCCGTTAAAAAAATACTGTTTAAAACAACTTTTTTGTTGTTGTTTTTTTGAATAGAGTTTATTGTAATGATAATGAATGAGATGTAGTGGTGATGGAGATCAAGGACATCACGTTCTCTCCTAACCGTTATATCACATCTCGTTTATAACATTTTATAGTAAAAAATCTTCTTTTTATATACATTTGTTTGTAATGGCATTTAATGAGCAATTTATATGTGAGACGACATACCCTGATATGACTTCATCCACGGAAAGAAGTGTTTATTGCCGGGCGTCTGGAGTTGAGGATTCAATTGGCAATTCATTTGTTGAGCCATTTCTGGTGTGGACGGCGGCGGAGAGTCAAACGCCGGCGACTCGTCGGTCGTAGAGGTGGAGCGAGTGGTCGCCGTTGCCATTGAATTGCTCTCAAATTGATTGACACTTAGTTTACATGAGGCAGGACTTTGGTTGGAGGGATAGAGTTGTTGGTGCGACGGATGCGATGGCGGACCCGTGTTATGGGGGGTACCGCACGACTGGTCCGGCGTTACCACACGATTGTTGCCGCCGGCGCTGTCCTGCAGAAGCGGATCCGATTGTAACAATTGGGTGACGCTATGGCCGTGAATGGGCAGTGAGTGAATGCTCGTAGGGCTCGGATGTTGACTGAGTGTGTGGTACGGAACCGATGCCTGGAGTGGTGCTGTGGTGGCGGTGGCGGACCCACTGAGTAGTGCCCCACCGGTGAAGACGTGGTCTGGATGCGGATGATGTGCGTGACTGTGATGTGGATGACTGTGGTGTTGGAGTGAGTGGTGAGGACTGATGTGATGGCTGTGGTTGTGATGCTGTGAGTGATGCGGAAATGCGACCGAATTCTCGATGAAACGGTTGTGTGCGATGGCGTGCGGATGGTCTGAACCTCCCGACACATATCGGGGCATCGATGGCGTCGATGTCATGACATAAGCCGTTTGGTGGGGCGAGTGGTATGACTGGTAGCCATTGGCGATCGGCCGGGAGTCAGTGATGGACGTGTTGTAGGCATTAGAACACACTTTGCCGGCAGTGAAGTGATTGATCGGCAGTTCTGTTGATTGCCAGTCATGTCCAGCGCCGAAGTAAGAGCTCATAACGATATGACAATCACTTGCTATGAGATGCGATACGAGAGACAGAATATGCAGAATATATACGTATGGATGAGATGCACGACGTGTTGGTCGTGAACGGTGTGTACAGTGAGTGGAGAGTATAGTATAACTTATAAGTTATTGCAATAACAAGTTGTATGAATTGTATTGAATGTTATGGATGTACGCAAAAAGAGCCGCAATGAATGATTTGTGTGATTCCCCCCGACCTCTGTCTATGCCTTTTCACGTTGCAGTCGTTGGCGAGGAGACTGAGGAGACCATAAGCGGTCGGTCATAATGACATGGAGGGTCACGTGATTCCCAATGCCAATACACTGAACCAATAGCTGACTCGTGATGACCGGCTGTATGTCTGTTGCCTTTTGATGAATAACTTTTCTTACGATTGCTTTTCAATAGTCGATATTCAAAAGCTATATATGAATGCAAACCCTTTGACCACCTGGTGGGCCATTCCTCATATCCGGATCAGTTTATTCACAACTAAAGGTACAAATGTCCAGAAACCAGATTTGCCACAAATGTTTGCAATTCAGCTCTAATACTAAGCATTGGAGAGTATGTGGACTGCAGTTCGTGTGAGAGAGTGAGAGAATCGCAGACAGAATGCCGGAGCGGTTGGAGTTGGGTTCGGGGGTTCAGGGGCTCCGGACAGTTCACATCAGTTGATTGTTAAACTACAGTTCACAACATATGAGAAACGGCTATTCGTAAGCAAACTAAACGCACAACAAATAAAATGTTTGTTTGAAAAAAAAAAACTTTTTTTATTCGCCAAACATAACAGATATGAAAGTGTATTAGAAATGAGTTGTATTTGGCATTCGTTGCAATGTTTTATTGACAGAAACGCTAATAATATAACAATAATGATAAGAATGATAAGAAGGCACTGGAAATATACAAAAAACAATTGCAATGCAATGGAGGGAAAGGTGGAGCGGGGGTAGTGTTCGACACCGAAACCAATTACAAACCAACCAATATAGAGGGGACGTCCCCTCGCAGGTGGACCCACAGAAATCATAGTAAAGATGATGTGATGATGAATGTGCCGTTTATTGCATGTCTCCTATTCTCTCAATACATGATCTCAACAATTGTAACACTACTTACAGTTCCACCAGTTGTTCACCAGTTCTCCAATTCCTATCATATGTTCTCAAATGAACACCTATTCAACACACACTACACTTAAGTTATAGTATATCACTATATTCTCTATAATATACTCACTTCACAACAATTAACAACACTTTACTACACATTTGGAAATCATTTCAAATAAAGAGTTAACACAACTTTTACCACAATTGCAGCTTAACTTTAATGCTTGCTATGAATGCTTTCAATGAGATATAACAGTAAAAGAAGCACAGAATGCGGAGAGAGAGAGAGAGAGAGAGAGAGAGAGCTGTATTATTTGGCTCATTATCATTACTATATTCTATGTATGAGAATATAGTGAATTGAAGTAATAGCTGAACAACTCGTATGCAATAAGGGATCGCC